ACAGTATTGATTGAGCAACTAAAATATTTAAATGGGTAACTTCAAAAGTGAAAATATTATTCAGTAACTTCAGATTAAAGTTAAAGAATTGAAATGTTTTAAAAAAAGAAAAGGCACAAATGCTGACCAGCCGGAGAAGCAAAGTAAATCGGATCAAGCCGGATAAGAATAAGCTTGGCATGAATACTTGCTTTGGAATTAATTATTCCGATTATCTTATATGGATGTATTGAGCGAGTATTTAAATGAGTTTGGAACGAGAAAAAACATTATAATGCTATTATTAAAATAATAATAATAACAGTCGTTCCATCATTTTGAACCCCAATATTCTCTCCTACATTAAATAATAAGGCGAGAAAAAAAAATCGACAACGACAAAAATCCATTATAAATTATTAAGAAGAATTCCGGATAAAAATATCATTGTTTTTTTTTTCTCGAAAAAAAAAAGGTCAGACAAAAAAAAAATTTAAATTTATACAAAAAATAAAAATACATAAATAAATAAATAAATAAATAAATGATATTATACATAAATAAAAAAAAATTATGAATAAATTTGGTATTAAAAATAATAAATTAACAATAAACTAGCGGCAATTATAATATTTAAAATATTAAAAAATTTGGTATCACTATTAATACTGAATGCAGAACTCGACGAAGAAGAATAATTGGGATCAGATACGGTAGTTGGTGAAGAACTAGATGTCGCAGAAGAAACATCTGTGGTGGTTGTGATTGAATCAAGTCCACCGGGTACATTAGGACTTTGAACATCGGAATTAAAAATTGATTTTGTCCATGATAATGAAACATTAAAAACAATATCGAGACCAGTTGGATTTTCCATTAACAAGCATTGTTTAGTACTGAATTGTAATGGGATTTTACCAGCGTCTTGTTTACAAGTTGCTTTCGGTTCATCATAACAAGACAATGATGGTACGTATTCGAAATCGGATGTTGGATCCAAGTATTTTTGCATTTCGGAATTAGCTAATTGATAAACTATTAATCCTGGTCGATATTTTGGAATTGGTTTTTCTGGCGGTACACCTGGTATAATTGTCCCGATAAATCCCGGAGTCATCGGTGTGCTCGAATCAACGATATTCATTGCAAAACCTGAAAGTAATGATGGTTATGATGGTGATGTGGTAATAATGAATGATTATTATTGATGGAATTATTGGAATAATATAACTTACTGACGTAACGTGTGTCTATATCACTACACGTGTACCAAGCACCCCGATTTCCAGGAGCCTTGGATATGCCTGTAAAAATATCGTCTCCATTGATGCCGGTGGACCCCTATACATAAAAATCATATTACTATATTAATATATTATATTCTTTTAAATTATCTTTTTTGAAAACTTTGAAAATTAAAAAAAAATTTACCAAAATTGACAAAATAACGAAAAAAAGTATTTTAACAAAAACCATTTTTCGATAATTAATGATTAATGGATTGAAGGAGAGAGGATTTAAAAGAATGTAAAAACTATTCCACTAATAAGCAAAGTGAATTAGTTAATCAATCGTTCTTTAAAAAAAAAATTTTTTGTTAAATTCAACAAATTATTTCTTAAGAGTAAATCGTAAAATATTTGGGATGTTGGTTGGTGATGGAAATGTTGAAAAATAAAATTGTCAAATTTTATTTTATTTTAAAGAACGATTTATTTTTTTAAAAAAAATTATACAAAGAATTTACATGTGTATCTTTATATGATTATGAATATTTCAATTGTATTTATATACAATATACGTTACATACATACATCCAATACAGTATAAAGAGATCGAACAGAACAAATTGTTTTGATTTTATTAATTAATTACATTATTTATAATTTCACTAATTTCATCATATTATTATATTTGATACTTTCAAATCCATATAAAGATGTCACATTTTTTAATATAATAATCAACGATTAAGTTTTAAAGAAAAAAGATTTTTGTCTATTGTACCAATAATGTTGTTTTCTACTTCTTTGTAAATTACTATAATATTTTGTGATCTAAATCTGGAGAATGCGTGTTTATTTCTTTTTTGTATCTATTGATATAAATTTGGTAAAACATTTTTTTTAAAAAAAAACAGTAAATTACGAAATTAGGAATTGCAAGTAAATCATTTACAAAATTGGCTTACAAACAATGTATTTGTGCACTTATTAATTATTTGTGCTTTAGATAGGTGATAAGCACGTGAACAAAATTATTAATAATAAAATTTTGTTAGGCTTTTTATTTGTTGATATTTTAAACTAATATGGAAAACACGAAATCATAAAAAACTGTAGTAAAGTAAAAATAATTAGATCAAAATTAAATTAATACATACGACCAAAATAATTTAATATTAAAAAAATATGATAAGCATTGACGGCATCTCCCCCGCAGAACTGTTAAAAAATTTGCAGTAAAATCTTTCGATTTTGTCCAACAGATTGATTTGCTAATCGGTCCAATCGATCCAACCAATCAATTAATTGAAAAAGTTGTTATCGTTTATTAATATTTACTGCGATAAATAATCATGAGAATGAAAAATCCCGATTATTCCCAATTTTAATTTTTTGATAGGCATGAATTTACTAGAATGGAAAACAAAGTAAATATAATCATAGAAAATAATTGGACGAATTATGCATAACGCCGATGAATTAATTAGATCATGTTTAATTTTTTAATATTAACAGAATTAAATGAACGGACGGACAAACTCTACTAAAAATAATAATAATAATAATAATCATTCAATGTCTAATTAAAATATGTGATAAGCAAAAGTGTGAAATTTTATTATTAGCAATACTAATTAATAGATCATAAATACATTTTTTACAATTGTATGATAAATTGATAAATTGATAAACTTTAAATATCAAAAACATTAAAAATAATATCTTAAAATATTTTTAATTACAAATTATAAGACTTACAAGTTTTTTTAGTTTTTTGTAGTGCAAAAAATACACAAACTTTTAAGGTTACATTTTTTGATATAGATAATAATGATGGGTTCTCTATTGTTATCCTAATATTGACATTGTTTTTAAAAATAAAATAAATAAACAATAAATTAAAATTGTTTTTTAGTGGTTAAAAATATCCTGCATATTTAATTCTACTATAAAAGTTATTGGATAAATAATCAATAGATAAATGAATAGATAAATGAATAGATAAATGAATAGATAAATGTGGAATGAGAATGAGGATGAAGATTGAGCAAAAAATGATAAGATTACGTGTCAAAATAAAATGAACAAATTTAGTTTCTGTCCTAGCTATTATGGGTTTCTTGGCTTCGAAACCAATAATAATTGCCCATATACTTTTATTGCCTTGCATCGGTCAAACAGTCAATGGCGTTTTGGAAGAAAAGAACAGGCTTTTCCCATTATGGCAAATGAAAAATTACAGATTCATCCTCACATTGTAAAAAGAAGTTTTGCTCCTTGGAGAAAGATGTGTATTTTTTATCTTCAACGAACTTGAATTCGAGTATGTTTTAGACTTGTGGAAAAAGTGTTATTCTTTTTAAAGATTTTCGAAACCTGATTTTTCAGTTTACGCCCCGAATCAAAAAAGGGAGGATTTGCTTTCAAATTTGTAAAGCATTCATCAATGGGTTGAGTGACCTTGTGAAGCTTAACAATGGCTTAAAGGGCTGTTGGAGTATGTGATGCTATTGTTTGAAATCGTCTTTCTACAATAATTATTGTTACATACATCCAGTTTGACGTTAAATGCAAGTAATTTGTCATTACGTATTTTAACTTGGTGTATTCTAATTGTCTAGAGATAGACACGAACTTCATAATCTTTATGATCGATCTCAACATTTCAAAGAAATATGGAATTCAAGAACCATTGATACACAGATAAGTGCTCAATATTCTATTATGTGTGGACTTTATAGCCATAGCCGAAATATTTTCAATCGACCAATTACCTGTTGTCTTTTTATCACTTCAAATTTGAAATTTTAATTTTTTTGTTGGCCAATAAAAAAATCGTTGTGACGGTTAATAACCAATTCTACTAAATTTGAACCCCTGCAATTCTTTCGTGCCACATGTTTAATTTGTCCAGCATGCCCCATGATTTATTATATATATATATATATTTATATTTATATATATTATTTTATAATAAATATAAATAGTAAATCGAAAATTGTTTTTTTTATTTAGGAGAATTTATTAAAATAAATAAAATTAAAAATAAAACACGTTAAATAATTATGTGGCAGATCTTTTTTAAAAAAGATTTACCTAAATTTAAAGTTTTAAAGTTGATTTCGTCATCTATAGCTTAAACTCATTTTTAATCTATGTTTAGATTATTTTTATTATTATTATTATATTATTATTAATACTTATTTATTTCCAGATTGTCAGAATTATTATTATTATCATTAATTTTTATTATTTGAAAAAATTAGCATAATGTCTCCGTTAAACCCTATTGTTCAATTGTTATCCGTTGATGGGTGGCGTTTTTTTTTCACAAAGGAATTTTTTTCTCCTATATTATAAATATAATTAAATAATATTCATTAATTAGTTGTAAAATATTATAAATTAGAATTTAAACAATAAAAAACTAAATCTATTATTTATTTTAATGGTAGATTTACTACTACGTTGCTGTTATTGTTATTATTATTATTATTATTACTATTAGTAAATTATTAGTTACTATTAACCACCAACTACTTTACCCATATTTGACGCCTACCTTACTTTATCTTCTTCACTTTGTTTACGAAACTTTTTTATTAATTAATTATTTTACATGTTATTAATAATATTTTAATATTTACATATTTATATACATACATACACATATATATATATTAATAATAAATTATATATATATATATATATATAAAATATTTATAATTTAGACTTTATAAAAAAATTTTTCCAATAAAATAAACAAAAGTTTTTTAATTACAACAAATAGAAAAAATGCCTGCAACTCGTAAACATCTTCATATTTCGAAGCCACGTCGTCGTCAAAGGTCTGTCAGTTTAAACACTCGTGCTTCACGTTGTGGTGTAAAAAATTTTTTAAATGTTCTTAAAAGTCTTCATCCTACCGTTGATTCTTTTTTCCCGGTAACAAAACAATACCTACAAGAATATATCGATGCAAAAAAGAAACAAGGTACCATCAAAGCAAATTCTTTGGACCAATACTTTCAACATATTGAAAGTTATAATATGGCTCTTAATTATGGTTGGGAATCACAAGAATTTGAACCAATGATGAGAGAGGTTTTAGAAGAATTAATTGAACATGAAGAAAAATCAGGCGCTGCTGTTGCTGCTGCTGCCGCTGCTAGTAGCAATGGTAGCATTGGTGGTAGTAATAATAGTAGTAACAATAATATTATTAGTAATAATAACATTAATCATCATCATCATCATCATCATAAAAAAACAACATCAACATCATCTGCTACATCAGGAGAAATCGATGATTTAAATCATCATAATCCAATTTCAAATGGTATCGAATCATATTTTTATATTTTATATTTTATATTTTATACTTTTATTCTTAAAAAAAAAAAAAAGGAATGATTTTAAAAAAAGTTATATATATAATTTTTAGATGTGTAACAATTCTTTTTCTTTTTTCTTTTCTATATACACATACACACATATTAAATACATACGCATATATATATATATATATATATATATATATATATATACATACATACATACATACATATATGTTTATGATTTTCTTTCTTTTGAAAATCATAATCGATCAATCTTCTTATCTTTCCCAATTCTTTTTTTCCTTCCTCTTTCCACATAAAAGATTTACCAACAATTCCATTAGTGTGTTTCGATGTGACTCATGATCCAATCGCTAAAATTGAACGTAGTCTACGTGTATCTATTGCAAATATTGATCAAAACGATGATCCAAATCTTGTCATTCAACAATTAACCAACAACATTTCTAATCTAAAACTGCCAAAGAAATGGGGAACAATAGACACTACTACTCTGTATTATCGTATAGGTACTTGGAAAGATTCTCTACATCATGATTTAAAAAATGAAATATCTTATAAATCGTTTTGGGATGAATTTTCAAAGAGAAAATCGGAAGTCCAATTAATTGTATACACTAGACAACCTGCTATAAATAGTAATCTATCTATCCATTTATCTGTCTATCTGTATATAATATATGATAAAGTAATAATATTTCAAAATTTTAATTATTTAGCACCACTTACTCCAAGAAAAAGCCCGCCAAGATTACAACAAATTCCAGGTCTTGATTATAATTCAGGTTGAAAAATTTTTTTTAACAATGATATTAATAAATGTTAATAAATCCATTAATCAACTAATCCATTAATCAACAATACCAAGTCATTTTAGAATCCTTATGATAATTATTTACATGTTTACTGCCCAGAAATTAGTAATAAATGGTTTTCAAATATAAATAGGTTTGAATGGGCATCTAGAAGCCATAACAATATTTCTCGTAATTCGATTTCCTTCCTGTATTGATTTACAACAATCCTCCGTATTTCTTTTGTCTCTTTGATGGTTTTATCCAACGCAGATTTGGGCATAAGTCAAGAATTCTGTAGATAGTAAGTAATTCACCAACCTTGTGACTTTGATATCCAAAAGTTTCTATGCCTGTGGATGATTTTCGTAAAATGTAAGATATTAGCGTCGATTAAGGTTTTTAATCATATGAAATGCTTATGTCAATATACTCCTTTTTTTGTAGCCACATAAAGAGAAGAAATACGATCCCTAATACAGAGTTAATCATAAAATAATCCTACATCGGTGGACAAGTTTGTACAATTTTGGGCCATTTTCTTGACAAGCATTACTTTAGAGAGCCAGCGAGTACCCAGGATTGCCCATACCATAGGAATATTCTCAGAATGCTTGAAGGTAGATTTAACACGCAGATTGATAAAATGGAGCGGTCAAGAGATCCTATTGCTAATATACGGGGATGGTGCCTGCTGATACGTGCTTCCCGATCCAGAAGCTCATCAATATACTTGGAAGTAACAGTTATATGATATACAGTGTGTTAAGAAAAAAATTGGGCTGTCAATTTTTATACTCGAGACCATCTTCAACATCAATGTCAACCTCAACCTTAACATTAACAAAATTTACCATTAAAAATACAAAAGCAGATCGTCAATATTTGAAATATGGTTCTGTAGAATGTACATTTTGCAAAGTTAAGTTACAGGCATTAGTACGTCATTTTCAAAATAAACGTAAAAATATTCTCAACAATAATAATATTAAACAATATTCGATTTCCAATGATTCAAAATTAAAAATAAATTAAATCCTTTGAGGATAAATATTTTGTTGATTTACGTTATAAGTTACCTTGATGCCAAATAATTGGATTGTATCAATTTTAAGAAGCGAAAAATTATCATTAAGAAAATGATTAGTTATTTTTCACACAAGATATCCCTTACAACAGATACCTGGTCTTCCACAACTACAAATCAGGGATATCTTGGTGTTACGGCATATTGGGTTGATGATGATGAAAATATTACTTGATCTTGTACCTCTTCATGAAAACCACACTGGAATCATTTTGGCAAATAAAATTTTAGGTAAGTTTAGCAGATTGTTTAAATAATGCATTAATTCAAAGAATACAGCAATAGGGATTTTATACAGATGTATATGAATCTCAATATATAAAATTAATAGGTCAACAACCAATTGAAAAATTACGTAAGTTGGCGTCTGTCTGTGCCTGTCACTTTTAATGTCTCAGAAAAAATATAAATTTTGCTTGTTAAAAAAATTATGATAAAAATTTAAGAATTCTTTCATTCCCGTTGTTATATCATCATATTTCGTTTGTACAGTCAAACCCTCGTTTCGAAGAACTTCGTTTCAGCGAACTGTAATTAAATTCACGTTTCAACGAATTTTGAATGATCCTTTCTTATGTGTCCAACCACTCGTTGAAACGAGGTTTTGACTGTATTTGATAAAATAAACAATAAAAGATTAAAAAAGGTTCGCAAAGATTTTACATAGTGAAGGCAATACAATTAAACCTCGCACAAATTGAATCTAATCACATTTCGATGAATTCTATATGTTTTTATATAATGCAAGATTCGTTGAAATGAGGTTTGACTGTACTTATCAAATATTAAAATATTATGTATATGTAAATTATCGTAGAAACGGTTGTCATGTTCAATATTTTCATTATGTGAAATCTTTGTGAAAATTTTTTTTTACTTATTTAGAATGGTGGGAGTTGCTTCCCTTCTTTAAAAAAAAAATATCAGATTATACTTTTGTCCAATGCCCGTGGAAAACACTGACCGGGAATAAAGCACTTCTGAAGATGCTATTCTGCTGCTGCTGTTGCGCCCACTTTCTATCTTTGCCAATTCTATTTCTAGTGATTCTTCGGCTGTTACAACGTTGTTATTTGTAATAATAATAATAATAGCCAAAAGAGACACCACCATTAGAAATGAATTATGAAACAAGTCTTGCCGTAATCTTTTCTGAATTGTTGGAACCGCCATCACTGCCATTTGGATTGATTATTAAAAGCAAGCATCCAATCTTCTTCTTAAATCCTTCAAATAATCTCGAGGTAAGAGTCAATATCATCTAATAATCCTATTCCATTTTCATAAAGAACATGCTCAACTATCATTCTTTTATCATGATTATCAAGATATTTCCTAAATGTTCTAGCAAAACCAGAATGTTGTAATGATTTTGCTACATAGCGCTTCATCATCGATGAAATAATATTGGAGAATGAAGATTCATTTGTAACTTGTATATGATATTGTTGAAGAGATGGTGGATGAGAATTTCTTTAAATTGAAGGGGCTCGGACTGGAACAATCATCAATCAGTTCCAAAGAAATTATTTCATGGAACCAATAAAACCAAATATTCAGTCAAGAAAGTTGGTAATTCACCAGAAAACAAGTATTCATGGAAATTCAAATTGGACCATCACAAGAATTTTTCCAATACAAAACTGAACAATATAACGGGCAATTGATTGAGAATGAACAGTTGCCACCAAAGCCAAAGACTCAAATTTTCACCAGCTGATAAGATATGTCAACAACCACAGAAACCAGTTGCTGAATTAGCTGCAGCATTAGCAGGAAAAAAAGAAAAGGGGGAAAAAATAGAGAAGAAGTACAAAAAGGAAAAGTATTAATTGATAAGATGATGGCAGTTTCATCATCATCATCACTCATCTCATAAAAGGAAAAAAGCTCAGAATTGATGAAGTCGTAGAAGTCGTAGTGGCATCATCATCATTCACCATTACCACCAATAATAAATAATACTTCCAACTCTCCTGCAATATATGGATGTAATGACAATATAGAAATAATACACTTTTTCGAAAGAAGAGTGTAAATTTCAGACAATTATTCTTTTTTTTTTTTTTTTTTAAAAAAAAGGAAAACCAATATATATTCACAATAAACACAATTATTAATAAGCAAATATATGTATTTTAATTAAAAAAAAATTTAATAAAATTTTTAAAAAAAAAATTTAAAAATTAAAAAAAACAACAATCTTACCTATAAACA